TTTCGTTTGTTTGATTTTATTTTTTAATTTTTTTTTGGGGGGGGTGGGGGGGATTGTTTTATGCATGTCTATGTGCTCATATTGCTAGGAGTCCGTATTCATGTAACAAATCAGGCATTCTTCAGCCATTACAGTTTATATGCGATTGAGAAACTTACATTTCTGCATTCCCTTCGGCTTTCCGTTTTCCCTGCAAAACAATCTCCTAAATTACATTAGGAAAGGAGATCTAAAATCAATTGCAATGGAAATAAGTCAGTACACACGCACATCTTTTCTTGAGTCACTTTCCATGTATTCCCAGCGCTCATCCATCAGCAGCAATACTTCGATGTCACCATCTTCATAGGCAACCTGCAATATGAAAGAGATTTGAGATCTCAAAAATTGCCACTCTAGAACACAAGAATAACAATGAAACCGTCATACATATTCCCAACGCTCTCTTACCGTATGTTTCTTTGTATCAGGATCATATGAATCGACAACGCCTCCATAAAACCTGAAAAATAGGCAAAATACAGCATAAGCAAGGAAACATTATTTAACAAGATTTCAACAGGAAATGGATAAGCATAATTTTTTTCTAGCAAACAAATAAAAAAATATTCCTTTCAAAAATCTAGTGATGAATGTAAAAGTAGACAATGCAGGTTGATCCTAACATATTTTATAATATATTATGACAGACAGAATAAATCAAACATCAGACTCAATCCAAGTATTTTGCGTGCATCAACAGTTCCCCATTAACAGCTATAAACCTGCACCAAGATACAATGTACCAATTGCAAATAGTTCTACAGGACAAACTTCAGAAAGGCAAAGGGTGTTAGTGACAAACCGCGCAAGATTGAGGCATGAAAAAATCAACGCATTAGTGCTCTCCAGTAAAGAAGTTAAAGGAAATCAGATGGAGATTAATGTGGGAAAGCTCAAAAATAAGTGAAATAAGACAAAGTAAATGAAATGCAAACAGAAAAAGCAACTTATAACTGTTAAAAACAAGATATAACATACTAAAAACTTTAAAGGAAGCAATTTTGGGATATTAGAAAAATAACATCAGAAAACTAAGAAATATTAAGTGAAATAAGAAGAAATTAAATAAAACGCAACTAGATAGAGCAACTTATAACAGTTAAAAACCTAAAGCCAAAAAACTCAAACATGCAGCTGGGAGACCTTCACGTGCCATAAATTCATTAAAAAGGAAAAGTTTCCTGATTATTCATATGATCAGGGTTAATACTATTAAAAAAATACATAAGTGAACTTTTAAATGCTATAAGTAGATGTAAGTTATCTAAACATCATAAGGGAAGAGACCGAAAATATAAATTCATTACTCAGACATCTACAGGTTAACTTCCCTAAGAAGTATCTGTGTCAGCACTTCGCAAAGATTATAATAGAAAAGAAATTGGAGAAAAAAAAATTTCAATGCAAATGGACTCGAGCAAGACACCCAAATTTAGGTGAACTTCTGTGATGTAATTAGAAAAGATCTGATAAGAAAACATAAGAAATTCACCACAATGACAAAAAGATGCTTTACCCACTTCTTAAAATAAACCTGATCAAAGATCAGGTAAACAGCTGAAACAGCACACAAGATAATAGATAAGCAAGAAAGAAATGTGCTGATTATCAAGATTCAAGAACAATCATACAAGAGTCGCTTCCACCGAAACAAGTGTGCGCACACACGTGCACATATATACGTGTGACAAACATTATGTGTATGTGTGTGTGTATGTGTGTATGAAGTAGCACAATAATTTGTAAACTAGGATACATGCATATAAGTATGCATACATGGCTGTTCGTTTATACTTGTGTGGGAGAGAGAGAGTGTGTGCGCGCGCGCGTGTGCATGCACAATATATAATACACATCACCGCATAGTGCTCTGTGAAGGCCAAAACAAAACTGTAGTGTTGTATTAAAATGATTTAATTGTATATTCTGAGGCATGAATAATGTGTCATGCAGGCAACTAGTGAAGGCAAACTTCTAATTACAAACCTATAAAACACATACCAATTGTGTTAAATGATTTTCAGTTTATTTTGAGGCACGTATGATGTGCCAAACAGGTAACTAGTGAATTGCAAATTTCTACCTACAGGCTACAGACCCACATCTATTAAGATCCAAATACCTGGAAGTCAATGTGCAAGAACTTACATGGTGACAAACTGAATCGGTAATTTGTTCCCAGGAACAAATATCTAACAACGGATAGTATCAGTATCATTAAATAATCTCCTAATCCAAGTTCACCAAAATAAGCACTCTTTAGACTAATTCTATTAAAGGAACCATTGTCTTTCCTTTCTGCAAGAAGGATAATAACTAGAACATGGACTAAAACATTGGTTTATTAATAACAAGAAAAAGTCATCTTACTCCTTATCATCCGGCCACCACACTTTGATCTTGGAACCAACAAGGCTTGCATCCAGTTTCTTTTTGTTATCAGGAGTATGAGATATCTGACATAAGAAGGAAAAGGCGATAAAGATTAAAATGTTCATACGCAAATCACGACATGAAATAATAGAGATTTATGTCAATTTGAGCAGACCGCTACAGAACAAAAACTTAACCTACATGTACACGCAACAAAAGCACCACATAAGTTTCCAAGGTATAAAATAGAACTAGAACATAGAGTGCAAGAACATTTACAATGAGGCCTCATTAGAAGGTAGCAAAAATGAGAAATTGACTTTTGACATCACTCAAATCCAACACCACAGTAAAGAAAGATAACGAGAAAAGAAATCATAAAAATAAGGAAAGAATATTAACATTAATCCTTATAAACATGAAAGCCGTGGAAGAATATTATAAAATCAAACATAACTTTATGCAAGTTGGAAAAAGACACAAGTGGAGGCTTATAAAGTTTGGTCGACAAACTTCTGAGGAATTATTCTACCAATTTTTGTACTACTGAGTGAAAATCGAAATTTTGATGGAGGTCAATGTCATCAAAAGCGGCCAGCCTAGGCATTGATCAAAAGCACTGCCTAGATCTGAGCGGTTTGCCTGGGCACACTGCTCAGCTTTAAACAAAAAAGCAGACCCAAATCAGCCCAAACCCAATCATTTAAACCAAACTGATTTTTTATACCCAAACCCAACCCAATAACTTAAACCCAAACCCTAACATATCCCCAAACCCTATCTCCCAACCCCAATTCTCCCACTTCCTGATGTAGTCAACAGACTCAACACCGAAACCTCATCTCTGCCGCCGCCGCAGCTTCGCCAGTGACAACATCAGTCGCCACCGCCTTCTACATCTCTACCCCTCTAATTTGAGGCCGCCATCGCCAGTTTAGGTTTTTTTTTCCCCACTGTTTTTATTTTTTCACTGTTTTAATTTTTTTTTTCCTTGCTATGAATGGGTTAACTCTTTATATTAATTATTCTAAGTTCATATTCACTTCACAGTAGCAATTATGTGCACTTAAGTCAATTTTATGTAACTTAGCTTCCTTTTTACTTAATTCATAAATATTAACTATTTAAATAAACTACTAATAAAATTGTAACAATTAAGTTAATTGAGTAATTTATGTGATTTATTTAAATCTTTCTTTGTCATGATTTGATGATCTATGAATGGTTTGTTTGTTATGATGTGGTGTAAAATGTCGGATATTCCTCCTACTAAGGAGTCTACGGTATCCACCGTTGTCCCTGTGAAAGCATCCGTTAAAAACAAAAGAAACTCGGGAGACATTGGTTGGGAGTTTGGGTTTCTTTCCGTTCCAAAAGACTTATGCTTAGTGCATGTAAATTGTGCACGACAGGATAAAAAGGTGGGTCTATAGATTGAAAAAACATATTGCCAATCGAGGAAACAGTTGCATAAAGTGTAACAATATTATGCCTGATGATAGGAAGAGGGTGCAAAAAGAACTGGACGCCAATTCCAAGAGGAAGACACTGAAGGAGATGCATATCATGGAGTTACAAGATGATGCACAATTTGACAAGCTGGATCCAACAGTGATTGAAGAGGAAATTGTCTCTCCTACTTCTACAACGGGGGGATCTTCAAAGAGATCCAAAGAGCCAACCGTTAGGCGATGGATGCTTATACAACTAGTGATCCGAGGTTAGCGAAAAGACTGAAGTGGAAGAAGAATCAGCCTGGAACGAAGGAAGCTTACACGAAAGAGAAGAGAAACTGGGTCCATATGCACATAGCTTGATGAGCATATGAGAATGACATTCCTTTTCATGCCATCTCCACCGTCTCCTTCACGAGAATGTGCAGCGCTATTGAGGATTATGAACGTACATACTGACACCTAGCATGTATATGTTGAGCCGTTGTTGAGGGGTGAATGAGACTAAGGAGTCATCGAAGGAGCATGAGAGGTGGAAGAGTGGATGTTCTGTTATGACAGATGCCTGGTCAGATAGGAAGATGCGTTCGATCATGAACCTGTGCATTCACAGCAGGCTAGGCACGACTTTCTGCAAGTCGATTGACTGCTCCACGAACTAGCATACGGGGGAGTACATTTTTGAGTGGGTAGATTCATGCATTAAGGAGATTGAGGCACAGAAGATCACTCAGATTGTCACAGACAATGCATCTACGAATATGGCGGAGAAGGAGAAAAGGCCGAGGATCTTTTGGACCAGTTTTGCAGCTAATACAATTGACCTAATGCTTAAGGATATCGAGAAGTTGTCATGCTTCAAAGCAACGACCGAGAAAGCAACGGCTCTCCCAATCTTCATCTCTAGCCACTACAGAATCTTGAATATGTTGTGTCGCATGTGTGAGATGAGGGATGTCATTAGACCCGAAGTCATCACTTTGCCACTGCGTTCTTGACTTTGCGAAGTGCTTATGACAAGTTGCTACGACTCGTTCTCCGATGAAGAAAAGCAATCATTCCACGACAGCAAGGGGTAGAAAAGTGGAGGCTAATAAGATTTTTGAGAGTTGGTGGCAACCTATGAGCATGTTATTTAAAGTCTATTCTCCCCCATTTCGCAAGTTGAGGGCGGTCGATAGCGACTACAAACCCTCAATGGGATTTATTGTGGGGATGCTTGAGATTATGCTTGCTTTGAAGAAAAAAAGACCTAATACAAGTCGGCAATGTTTTAGAAAGCGTTAGACATTTCTCGGTGCGAGACTTAGCGCCTAGCGCCCAAGAGCCTAAGCAAATGCTTCAGCGGCACATAGACATTTTTAACATCAAGAGGAAGGATTGTTTTTGAAGATTCAAATCATATTCTCACTGTTTTACTTGAGATAGACTTAGACAAAGAGTTTTGATCTCTGATACAATTTAACCCTGCTAACTCTTTTCAACAATTACTATGCTTAAACGAGCGATATACGTACTTCTAACATCACATAGTCCGCGTAAGCAATCTGTTCTCTATGGGACTCTCCCAAGACTTAGACGGACGGCTTAAGTATCGCTTGGGTTTAAGCAGCTGTCTAGGCAGGTGCCCAAACCGTTTTTTGAAACAATGCAAGCAGGTGGCTGAAATTATCAAAACCAAGACCAAGGATCGATTATGTACATCCTTACATCCTTGCATATGGCAGCTTATGTCCTTAACCCTTACTACTTCCAAGATTATGTGGCTAACTGTAGGAAGGGGAAGAAGGGGCTTCTCGATCTTGTGGAGTTATTCTATCCCGACAAGAAACACCAAGATGAGGCATGTAGAGTTCATGGAGAAGTACAAAGAAGGAAAGAGCTCATTTGGCAGAAGTTTGGCAATGAAAGCTAGGTAGAAAGTGGACTTTAATCCAGGTAAACTAAATTTGTAAATTGAATCTATCACTCATAAGTTACTTATTACAGCAACGAATTGAACTGAAACAATATATCATGCAACTAGTTGGTGGTATGTGTATGGTGCTGATTGTCCATATCTGCAAAACTTGGGGATGAAGGTTCTTAACCTCACTAGCAGTCTTCTAGATGCGTGAGGAACTGAAGTAAATTTGAGGGGTTAAATTACACGAATATTTAAAATTAATAAGATGAAGTTAATAGTTATTCATATATGACTTCACTAATTTGTTCTTTTCTTCTTTTGACGATTCACGCGAAGAAGAGAAACCAATTGGAATCGAAGAGGTTAGATGATCTTGTGTTTGTTAAGTTTAATGTCAGGCTTAAGCAAAAGAAGAGGAGAAGACAAACGTGATAGCAACACATGATCGTATTATGGTACATGCATGGATCCTAGGCGTTCCCTCCGACGACGAGGAGACTTATTCGGGTTCGAAAGTTACTTGGACAATGGTGGAAATGTATCCGGAGCAGCTAAAGTTGCCGCTGGAGGAGTGAGAATTGCAGAAGCTCAGGACCTTTGATGATTAATGGTGAAGAAGAGCCTCTTGCCTCCGACGATGTCACATACAAGGATGAGGACGATGTGGACATCGGAGGGTAGCGATCATGTGGTTGAGGATTTCCATGATGATGATGATTAGATTATATGATTATGTCACGCGTTATGCATTTAGACAATTCATTTTTTTCTACTTCGGCATTAGACTTCTAAATGTGTGATATTATTGACCGTTTACAGTGAGTGATATGACATTTTGTTGGGCATGATGATGTTTCATAGTATTTCGTTACTATTTTGGCTATTTGGTGTTTAACCATGCATGGTTTATTGTGGATTTAAAATTGCTATTTATGCTTTTTCACAAATTTATATAAATTTAATACATATTTTTGTCAATTATCATAATTAATTAAATAACTTAAAAAATAGTCAAATATCCAGGTGTACGCTTAGACACTAGGCGCTGGCTCGAACGCCTAATCAGCATAACACCTTCTATAACACTTTTGTAACATGGTTAAGGTAGAATTGTAACATGGTTAAGGTGGAATTGAAGTACTTCCACCTAACCGCCTAGGCGCTGGCTCAAACGCCTAATCCGCCTAGCGCCTTCTGTAACATTGCTTGAGGTAGAACTAAAGTAATTCTTAATGGAGGTATAAAACCCACTGTTGGAATAGTACTGACTAGTGAGTTTTCACAACACTAGAAGAAAAAGGGTCAAGTTGATGCAGCGTCTCACACTCAAATTAGATGCAACATGGAGTATGAATTAATCCAGCTTTACTTGGCCAACTGCCTAATTTGCACTAGATAAGATAATTAAAGATGCCAAAGGCACTTACTTCAACTAGGAGATGATAGACGAGAAAGAGGGTTTAAATGCAATTTCAAGGAAAGGTCAAGTTGACCCAGGACTGAGCAGAAGGAAGAATATTTCTGACTGCACCTCTCGTTTTTTCCCCTTGTTCTTATACAAGGATAGGTTAAAGGTTACACAAGGCGGTCTAGGCATCGAACCCAGCGCATAGCCCAGGCCTTCCTATTTTTTATTTTTTAATTACAATCAATGTGATCAAAAGCACTAGGCTTACAAGGATTTATAATGGCGGAGGAGGTTTTGCTTAATGTGGAGTCGGACGAGGTCTTCATAGGTGGAGGAAGCCAAAGGAGTTCGAATGAGGTTAATGGCTGTGAATGCAGCAACAAAGGAAATCAGAACCAAGACCTAGTGGTGCAGTCCACATAAGTGGTCTCCACTCCCTAGTCGGATGAGGTCTTCATAGGTGGAGGAAGCCAAAGGAGTTCGAATGAGGTTAATGGCTGTGAATGCAGCAACAAAGGAAATCAGAACCAAGACCTAGTGGTGCAGTCCACATAAGTGGTCTCCACTCCCTAGGCACTCTAAAGACCTAGGTGGGTAGAGCCTAGGTGGGCTGGGCTAAGGAAGAGCTTTTTAAAACATTGAATAGGTTCATAGCATGGTGCAAGCAAAGTTTCAACACCGAAACCTATTATTCATGCAAAATATTGTTAGAAGGATCTTAGTTTAGATTAGTGCATAAAATGGCCACAAGTAAAATTGATGATTTGATTAGCACATAGAATAAATAATATGGAAATGCTAAACCTACCTAGTACAGATCAAAATGCTTATGCATGATGCCAAATATTTTATATACAACCATTAGACAAGATATGACATCTTCAGGACTGGACTGGTGAACCCATAGCTAGAACACAGGTGACAACAAACTGAAATAGGATAGTAACCCTATATAATATAAAGCTGCAAGTCTGTTAAGTAGGAAAATAATCGAAGGGTACATATGATAACTATCCATCCCAAAATTCAGTTATAATTGCATAACTCAAGTAAAAAATTGCTTCTTCAGGTAAAACAAGACTACTATAGTTTTATTTGTATATTATAGAGGAAGCTAGGTAAATGACATTCTATATGATCAACAAATCAGAAACATGCACAAAAAGCGACTTGGAAAAGACATGCAAAATGCAACATTTGGGCATCATCAATATGACAGTTTAATCGGACACTAAGCAATCTCTTTAACCAGAAAAAATCATTGAAAGAAAGTCCATGGCAGTTTGATTCCCCTCTCCCATATTCAGTAATCACATATACAGGATAGAAAATATGTAATAACCACCAGACCAAGAGATTAATTCCTTCAAATTAAGCTTTAAAAACAAATTAATATAGAGGAACTATGAGATTACAATTATGTAAACAGAAATCTCGGAACAAATTCAAAATGGATCCAGTAAACATAAAACTAAGAGCTTAGTTCTCGAAACATATAGCATAGTAAATAAGACAAAAAAGCACAGCAATTTCAAAAGCAAAGCTGAACTTAGATGCAATGTTGTTATATAAGATCAAGAACATGAGAGAGAGAGAGAGCACCCTACATTTTCTGTCTTCAGAGGGTGCTTCCTTCTAGACATTGGCTTAACACTATCATCCAAATCGGTTTGATCTACACTAGGTGCCTTTGAAGTAGACCTCAGTGAAGAATCCATGTCCTATAAAGAAGCAAATAGGACATCACAACCATCTCTCAAGAAGTAACCAATCTGCTAACTCAAAACATAGTTTGACCAGCATTAAGAAAAAGCTAGTCTGATTACGAGTGATTTTCTTTGTTTACATAATAGTTCATGCAGCAATAGTATTTAGCTAGGGTGGCATTTGTTGTTCTACAGGAGCACATAGATACAAAATTGTAGTTTCTGTTAAAATTTTAAGATATTGAAGATGTTTTTATACTAGAAGATTGGGAATGAGAAATATTTATTCCAGAAATGCCAAAACACGTACCTTCTTTGTCCTCCCTAATGCTGTACTCTACTTAGTCACATTTTCCTATTTAAAATCCTAGCCCAAAACCCCTGCACCCTTGTTTGTTCCTACCCTAAGTCCTAACGATTTCATTGCAACTGTTGATGGTGGCTGCTGCTGCTGCAACAGCTCATTATTTTGGCCCCAAGAGATGTTTGCTGTTGCGATTGTTGCTGATTGCAGCTGCTATTTTCCCCATTGTTCTACTGTCTTTTCCCTCCCAACACACTAAAACTACAGTCCAGATCCACATAAACTGATTAGAAGACTCCTTGCCTCAAACTGAACCTCCTTGGGCCTACAAAATCTCAACAATAAATGCCAAGTTGCTCAAGTAGGTTGATGCTTGTTGCGGATCAGACACATTCCTGGCTATTTTGATGAGGATCAAAGCAGTCTTCCCAAAGGATGCATGGTATAAACTCAAATCTACTTAGATTTGAAATTTATTTCTTAACAGAGATATATGCAGATGTATGCAGTTCATATTCATAGTTAACTTAAAATTTAATTTGGAATCTTAACTGTATGTTTCCAGTCTCATTGTGTTCATTTTCATTGTTGATCTAAGATACTTAAATTAGGACATGCATGTAGATTCCTACCTATTACCTAGATCTATCCGATTCAAAGTAGGATTGCATATCATTTGTGTTACCTGTAACCTGCTATGCGTCAGTTATCATCCTAGTAACCTATCTTGCTTCAGATGTACTGAAATAACAAGTGAAACATGTAAGATTAGAAACATTACCTTCAAAGTTTGTTCTCCATCTATATCTTTCCCTGCTGCGTCTTGTTCCTTTTGCTGCTTCATATGTGACTTCCGTTTCCTTCCTGAAGTTTCTCTCTCAGCAGCCTCCTTCTTTGGTCGCCCCTTCTTTCCTCTACTTCTTGGTTTTACTTCTGTATCACTTGTCACATTTGCAGGTTCTTCACCATCATCAGCATCTTCACGTTGCTTCTCAGTATTATTCTCTTTGATCGCTTCATCATGGGTCTCACCGCTTCCTGAATGATCTTTCTGTGCAGATGCAGTAGCAGGTGGCTGCGCTACTGCATCAACATCAGTGCTCTTCGCACTTGCCTTTGACCCAGGTGGTCGCCTTCCTTTGTTTCTTGCAGAATTTGTAGGATTCTCAACAGAGGCTGGGGGAGCAACAGATATGTTCTCTTCATTCTTCTTCTCAGGTTCCACAAAACCTGCAGGTTCAACTTCCATGCCAGATGCCTTATCAACTTTTGAACTATTTGCTTCCTTAGCACGACCCTTTCTTCTATTGGTCATAATTGATGCATCTTTGTCACTGTCAGTACGAGAGTCACCTGTAGTGTCTGTTGACTGCACTGACGTGTTAGCTTTGCGGCCTCTTGCTTTCTTTACATCAGTTATACCATCTGACTTTACAGAGACCGCTTCTGAGTTATCATCAATAGCCTGGCTGGAAGGAGCATTTTGCAACTGCCCATTTCGACGTGACTGTTCAGACATTTGTTTCGGAGAAGACGGCTCTTCCATGGTGTCATTATTTTCCAATTGAACAGTACCATTGCTTGTTGCCTCTACTGTTGAAACATCTGCAGCAGAAACAACTTTTTCGGGGCAACCCACTTCTTGCTCCATCTTTGCAGAAACCTAAAGAAATTCAGTATAAAATGTGGTTGAACTTGTATGCTCCATAATAGAACTAAACAAGCACATGGAAGGTATTGGAGAGAAACTCGAGTTAAGTAGAAACCTGAGGCAGTTCATCAGAAATGGTCCTTTCAGATATCTTGCTGTCATCTGCCTGAATCATCACAGTTACACCAGTCATAACAATAACAAACGCATAATACGTATTATGTAATTAATATAATACAATTTTGCAACTATGTCAAATACCTTCCAGCATAATCACAGTGCAAAGCTGCAAGAACATTCAAACTAAGAGCTTCATAATGAGTAAAAAAATTTACCCATGATGATGTAAAAAAATAAGATGACAGCATCAACCATATACAATAAATGAAACCAAGAAATTTGGAATGAAACTTCGACATTCATAGGCACTTCTTTATCCACAGACATGTAGAAGAACCAAAAAGGTTTCAGTACCAAATCATAATACCCTCACACTGTTCCATTTAGGGGCTTATCCTCAAAAACGAGTATGACTTCACATCACCTGACAGTAAATTCGTATTATGATGTTAAGAAAACCAACATATTGGTTTCGTTATCATCACAGTTGCTTGGAACTTGGTTCCTTCCGGTTCACAGGACGGGTACGGGAACGCGGTACACCACTCGTTAGGAATCGGGTACGAGGGGGTAGGCTTATACGGTACGTCACGGAACGTGGTACGCTTTAGGTTCAGTTCTGAAATGCTAGTTGATATCAGTAATGGTAAAAGAACCATAAGAATCACGTCGCATATACACACACACACATCCATATATACGCATACACACACACATCCATATATATAGATTTATATATACACACACACACATATATACACACACACCAGACACACACACACACACACACACACACACACACACACATATATATATATATAAAAGAAAATATGGGTAGATCTACATATTTAATTCCAAAACCCCCTCCCCTAACACACCGCACCCAAAAGATGAATGTTAATGATATTACATGTGCTGCAACTACTACCTGAGGACATTACCAAATCAACTTATCCCAAGATTTGTGGCACCACTACAAATAACATACATTTTTGAAGATCTGTGTGGCGTCTATAGCCCCGAATTGGAAATTATGGATAGAATTCAATGATGCACTCAAAACCCACAAGAGTATGTTATTGTAATGTACTTTCCAATGAAAGAAAACAGACAAATGGGAAGAGATGCAGCTCACAAAGATATCTCTGATAGTTCCTAGCTCTCGTAAAGACAGGAGAAAAAACTGCATCATATCATCCTTTATGAACAGGGCAGACAATATTAATGGCGGCTAAAATATTATCATCGAGAAACTAACAAATAAAACAATATAATTGTCTTCTTGCAAGCAAGTGATTGAAATTTTAAAATACAGCCGCCTGTCATTCTACGTGAACACTGAATAATTAAATCAATTTAATATGTTTGAACAGACTTAAAGATCCATGCATTAGGTGTATGGTCCCCCTTCTACATCTCTTTTCTTAACGTGTACCTTTCTACATTTATCTGATCACACCAAAAACTGTTTCATTTCTCAATAAAGATGTCCATCAGTTAACAGACAAGAGGTTCCAAAAAAGATGGGCTTTTTTATACATACGCAATGGACGACTTGTTGCTCTGATCCCAAATTCACCACACAATAGCAGCCTACAACATGGATAGCTCTACCATGAAGTCTAATAGAATTGGACATGGCTGACACCTGATGGAACATGCCTTCTTGCATCATATCAATATATGTGAAAGAGACATACAGGGACAGATAGCATCAAAGACGGTAGAATGCAACAATAGTGACCATGTCATGCATCTCAATGCTGACACCTCCTCAAGAGGAAGGGTCTCAGGATCGAAGTATAGGAAAGCAAAAAATGAAACAATGGAAGGTAGAGAGATTCAGCAATGTTGAGTAGACATTAGAAGTGAAGACATTATAGGTGAAGATTACAACAATGACGAGCTGTGTTTGAGCATGAGGGAAAAAAATTAAAAACATTCATAATTATTGTAGTTGTATTCTATCAATTATGCTCCAAACCAGCCCGTTTCTCATGAAAGCAAAATGAAGATGATCACACAACAAGGACAACAATGAAGTCAATTAAGCAAGAGATGCTTCACAAACAAAATCTCCATTAATGTGAACTTGCCATGTCTAGTCGTAAAGGTGAAATACTGACCTTAAACATGCATCTATAACAAAATATCCAACCTAGCACGACATATTCATCAGTAAATAGAATATCCCAAGGGGGGAATACCAAATGAGAGAGGCATTAGAATGCAGTTGGCAAGTATAAAGTTCAAATGATCAAATTTGAAAAGAGTCATATTATAACATACCAGAATTTCAGCACTTGCATGTGTTTCTTTATGATCCTCCTGACATATGGAGGCAACAACTTCATTGTATTCGCTCAAAGGGGCACCTTTGGATTGAATCAACTCCATTAAGTAAGGTCTTATCTTAGGGGCACAATTGCTGATAACTTTCTTTGCTAACTTTTGTGCAATGGGAAGAGCATCCTGTGCCCATCATTAAGGAAAAAGTTATTAGTTAAGGAAAATATTTTAAAAATGCATCTTATTCGAGAGATCATTGGAGAAGCACATCTTTAAAGACATTCTATACCTTGTTATCATTTTTCAAAACTTCGAGGAGAGGAGAGAGAAGATCAGTGGAGATATCTTCACTCTCCTCTATAACAAGTGACATAATAGTCTCCATAGAAGAGAAAACATTTTCGGAATGGTTCTCCCTGAAATAAATACAACCTCGTCAAGAAAAACAGGATAAATCAAATGATGAAATAAGTGAAAAATAAAGTGCCAGAAATGATAGCAACATGATAATGGGTATCTGCATCAACACCCAGAGAAGACATTTAGAACAAATTTAGGTCCCTTAATAATATTGCACTACTCTTGATTACATTGTGGTTTGTGACAATTTAAATTGTCAAATCTTCAAATATTTTAACTAAAAGCAAATTCAAATACAGGTTTTTTTGCAAATATAATCGAGAAATCTTTCAGAACTCCAGACAAGACATCATTCAGTCAACATCCACATTTCTTGTTTAAAAGAATTAGAGAATTATGAAAACAATAATAAAATCAGTTTAAGCACATAGACGGCTAAGGTCTAAGTCTAGCCATATTACATAAGAAATGAAATTCAGAAGAGTAAAGAATACCATGTATTAAAGTCAAATCATACATAAATAATAAGGACATCCAATATTAATCCGATAACAGAGAAGATAAAATACTTGAGTTATAGCGAAAGCTTCTATTAATTGACAAGCCAAACAAAGATGGATTCTATAGCCCAACTGAAGAGATGACTACTACATGGCAGAAGCAGCCTAAATGTTGAAGTTTGAAAAATAATAGTGCCATCATCACATGGTTTTCCCCAGTAAAATAAACACCTCTGCTAATCTTTTTCTTGCCACTTAAAAAAATCAGAGACAACTAAAACAGAGTGTGCAAACAATGCTACATTCATAGTGAATCGTGTGTCGCAAGCTATTATTAACATAACCTAGTAAGTGACTCATCCAGGCAGTCATTATATCTCTGGACCTCAACAGTCACTTATAATAGCTCCTCAAATCAAATCAGTCTTAAGCCATTACAAAATGCAGCCCACCTACCAGATTTAGAAAGATGACTGGAAAATTGTCAGCTTATCAGAAGCAACAGAAGACACAAAAGCTTAGTAAGCAACCGCTATACGTAATATAAACTGTCAACTGCATAGGCAACACATTTATGTAGCCAAGATCTCGTGCACTTAACAATCCTAAATAACTATTAGACCAAGAAAACAGATATATAGAATTTATCCTCAGTTTAAAACGATTCAATGACTTCAGATATTCCAATTTTGACATTTCTTTAGAGGCAAAAATTAAGTGCCAAGATGGTATCTGAACCCCTAGCCTGATAAAAAATCACTTACTACACAAAACAAATCCTCTCAGTATGCACTGGACACTAATGATGATAGATGTACTGCAACTGATGACACATTCCATTTGCCCTCATTCCCACACTATACTTCTACATCATAAAACACAACATGAAAGAAGAACAAATTTAAAAAATGCTTACGGAACATGCCAAACATTCAGAAAACACAATTTAAAGATCTCAACTAGAAATCCAATGAAAAATAAATTAACATATGAAACTCTACGGCAAATAACACTGACCAAACTATGAAACATGTATGTATGGCCATTCCAGTGCATTCTCCTTAAAGCATTTCTCATACATGTACAACAGATTGTAAATTGTTATCATTATGAATAATATCAGAGAACTTGTGCTGTGCTTCTACTATATCCTATAAGATGAACAATACACAAGAATATCTTGTGGTGTTCTACTATATCCTATAAGCAGAACAATACACATCCATATGCCACGAGATCCCATCAAACACAGTTAAAGGTAGCACGAACGTATATACACCAAGGAAGGCCTATGGGGCACTGGACCTTGATGACAGTACCTACCAAAGCGTCCAGAGAATTTGCCCACAATTTATTAGTTCTCAAGAACTATCAAGTGCTATCAAAACGGACAGATCAAATTAGACATAGAGGACCAAACAATTTGGGCCAAAATACTAGATACGACTTGGCAGGTAGCATGAGTTTTTTCTAGACTTTTGCTCCTTTCAAGAAGAAACTATATTGTCTGCAATCTTTTCAAAAGCGAACAATGCGTCTTTGATAATCTTCCACTACCATGAGACTAAACGAGGCATTGTTAAAAACTATGATGTTTAGTTAATTGCTAGTTACAAAAAATAAGATTTTCAACTGTTTGAATCCCACAAGGAGAAATAGGGGATACTTGAGATCAACCAATAAAGTTAATGAAATCCGAACACAATACACAAAGTTATAAATGAAAATTATAGGATCTACGGTCCACTTAACCTCAAAATGAACCAGCATAACGCATTTCTTTTAGTTCTAGTATCAAGCCATACAATTAAGAACAGCTTTTTTTAGGGATATTTCTGCATGAAACCAGGTAATGTTAAGTCTTCTTACCTACAGGCTTTCACTTCTCTCTTCAACTCTATCCTTCCTTTTTTTCCAAATTCATTGTTTTCTTTGATATTTAAATAAATATTTACCTGCCAACCCCAAATTAAACTTTGCTAGAAGAATGCACCATTTTCAGAAGCCTGCCAATACAAAAAAGGTGAAAATGAAAATGACAGGAGCTATGCTGTCCACTTGGCCTCAAGATGAACCACAATATCCCATTTCTTTTAATTCTAGTTCCAGACGACACAATTAAGTACAGCTTTTTTAGGGATATTTCTGTATGAATCCACGTAATTATTGAAGTCTTCTTACCTACAAACTTTCACCTCTTTCTTCAAGAGGGTTTTTTTTCGTAGAGTTCATTATGTCCTTTGATAGTCTAATTTCATGAAATAGATATTAGGCTGCCAAGCCCAAAACTAGACTTTGCTACCAGAATGCACTATTTTCAGAAGCCTGCCTTCTCCCTCTAACTACAAAGGTAAACATTTACTACAGCCAGCAACCTGATTCCTAAGGATAAATCCTCATAAGGACTTCATATTTAATGTTCGATTGAAGAACTTAGATCTGAATGTAAAACTATATGGAGACACTGCAAAGAAGCATTGTAGATACTATATATGCAATAATGCAAGCCTTAATTTTGAGACATAATCTTGGAATCAATTCCCCAGGTAGTAAAGGAACTAAACATTGAGATTGAAGAATTGTGCCATTTCATTGTCATCTACACCTCAGCTGATATGACACAAGCAGTGCAAGCTTGTGTGACACTTATGGAATTGTAACAATCCCTGGGAGAGCACCTAGCTAAATATGGTTCCAAAACATACGGCTCCATCCACTTCCCTGAAGGTGACAGAGCCACATCTTCCATGAATGTATTTCTACATATGAACTTAAAAATAATAAATAACAATGGCACAACACCTCAACTTGCTAACTGGTAAATGGTATCCCAAATTTAGAGAAAATAAAAATCCAAGAATTAGAGCAAGCTAAGCAACAGTCAAAAGGATAATCATCAAATGATGATGCAATAAAAGAATTCAGTATGATGCAGTACGAACAAGATTCTCACCGTATAGTCTTCCGGAAATAATTAAACATCTGATGAATCAAAGCATCACATTCAAGATCCAGCATCACAACACATGAACGGACCTTGGCAACAGTTTCGAGTATTGAAATTCTTTTTTGAAAAGCACGGCTAGTTATGTCATCCAGTCCTTCAAAAGCTGCGACAATCATTTGAAAAATCTCCTATTGAATCCCAAAAGAAAGTTAGCAGCAGTACAAAAAAATTCAACATAGATATAAAATAAAATTACAATAACAATCTGAAAATGTTTGATGTATTCTGAAACAACTCAACAGATGTCACAGCCAACCTTCATAATGTCATCATCATATGGAGCCTCAGGTGCTGTTATTCTTGTAATTTCACTAATACATGATGCCACAGCAACTTTCACATCCATATCTGAGTGTCCCAATACATCATTCATAGTTAGTGCCTTCATTAGAGGCTGAAGTGCTTCCAACATCGATGGGGACGGGGATTGTTCCACAGTCGACAACTGACCATCAATTTTCTGAAAATCAGCATAAACAACAATATCAAAAAGAACAGCTCATAAATCAGAAAAAAAAAGAGTATCGAAATTTGAATGTTTTGACTTCAGAAAACAGTAACCACTAATCAGCAAAGTGCTGGAAAGTCAAAGATAAGATTTAAAAACAATAATAAACAATGTCACAAGAGCAAATAGGATAATAGAATGAAAAATTAACATCAATTAAAGCATCAGCAAAAGAAAAAACTTGCCTCGCTAAGGAACAAATCTATCATACTACCATACAGTAAAGCCCTGCATAAATCCAAAAAGGCAACCTATGTATCATTCAACATAGATATTATCATTAAGCGCCCTTATGTTCATCAAACAAAGGCTTTCTTTTCCAAACTGCCGTTGCGGATAAAAGATGAGCATATATGAAAGAAGTTATTCAGTTCGATCTAGTTCAAAAAATGTATCATGATGTCATAACTACTACTCCTGAAACAAACCCGTATATCTCCATCTCCTCAACAATAATACAAACCTGATATGATCTTCCGCATCATATTCATACATACATCATGAATAAGTATTCATACCGTATATCTCAAGGAAGAGCATTTCCAGTATGGATAGTGCTCCATAAGACGTTCACAAGGGTGAATGGGACCAATTATGAAGAATAAATGAAACACAGAGTCACAGCATGATAGATTTGGACACAAGAACTTTCCTCCAGGTGTAAGTTCTATATGGATTCATTCAAAATGTTAGACAATGTTTTGCCATATCCTTTCAATAATACATACCTTGAGATGAATACAGATGAACTTCTAGGTCTCAGAAGTTTTTCATATAAAGAGAACCTAAAAGTTAATTATGCATCTAAAAGCTTGTCCCTTGATCCTTTTCAAATATATAGATCTACACATCGAGACATATAAATTCAAGGAGAGAGAAGTTTTAATGCAATTGAATAGTCGTACATGTCGGAACATGATGAAACATGAAAAGCGATGGTAAATATGCAAAGATAGTAACTTATTACAATCCTAAACCACAAGAAAGATGCAAACAAGATGCAAGTGAAATCGATGTATCATTTGATGGACAAATAAATGTATCGAAACTATTGGGCTATCCACTAGAAGGTGTTTCCATGTGGCACTCCAAAATGTTAATTATGAATGACATTGACAGCACCCATATTATCGGGATAATACATGAGGACGGTGCACTCAATTTTGGGTTCTAGTAAATACATTTTATTCTTTCATCCACTACTGCCAAGGGTTGTCTCCTACATTAGGTTAAGCACTATCGACATCCAATATTCAACATTTGTATTACCAAATAACACATGTCGAAAGTAATTACCTTTGGCATACAAGGATGTAAAAAATTAAGCATTCATGACTTAACATTTTACAATACCGTTCAAGGAGTCGTTAGGTGCAACCATGTCACCAATATGTACTTCAATAACAAAAGTAAAGTATCTGTAAACCCAAAATTATTTGTTCATTATTTAGTTGATATCAACCCTTTCAGAAGGCAGCTTAAGCTCATAAACCAAAGAAATATGCTTCCAAATTATCAATATGCAAAGACTTACAAAATGTAAAACGGAGCAACTTTCTATCAACAAAATTATTCTTAAGACATCAAATGAGATAATCAGACAATTGGGAAAGACCAACAATAAATACAAAGAAATGCAGAGAAGATATGGAATCAAATACATGGTGGATGTTCTGTAACTGAGATCAAACATCTTTTTTCCTAGTATTTTTGCAGCCATACAAGTTCAAACAGGATGGAAGGGGCAAAAAATGGGCATTACACATGAACGTCCCATGCCCGTGCACCTACACACCTAAAGTTACCACAGTCAAGCAAGAGTACTAAATCTCCACATGAAAGCAAGTCATTGCCAAAAAAACACCTCCTTGAGCATGCAAAAATATCAATACCACCCAAAAGGTCTCAACCCAGAAAATATAAAGGATTTAAACGATGCAGATGACAAAAGAAAAGTTCACCAAACACTTGCAATTGCCGAACTATTACAATTATCGAACTAAAATGAAATAGCTCTTCCACTCAAAAGTTGATCTAAATTGGGGTTTTCTACAAGTAAGAACAAATAAGACATAAATACTACAAAAAAATCAAGAGAAAATCCTACATGCAAAGCAATCCAACATAAAGAACAGAAAATCCCAAAATGGAAAGGGGGGAAGTTAGGGATTTACATCAAGAAGCGAATAGAGCTCCTCAGCAGAAGAAGGCGGCGAAGCGAGCTCTTTTCCAAGCTCGACGAACTTGGCCTCCGTTCCCTTCACTCCTTCCGCCATTTCTCGAAAGATTCTCGAGAGATTCGACTTCGCCCGCGGATTCACGACATGAAAACCTCAGAAAAACCCTAGAAAGCAACAAGATTGAGCGGAAAAAGGAAGGAAAAAGATCGAAGCTAGGGTTTCTTGAGAGAAGAAATAAAACCTAGGGCACAGTTTTAATTGTTTTTACCTGCCCTTTTTAATTTTAATTTTAATTTTTTTCTCTCTCTTGCTTTTTTTCCCTTGTATTTTTTGCTCGTAATGAACGATCGCGAGCGATTTTGAGGCCTCGAAAGGGGGTTTTAATGCGGACCCGTTCGGATTTTGCCCATATTTATTAGATCTGGTTAATTGTAGGGGTTTCGAGTCCGCAACGAGGGTCCTTGGATTTCGGGTCTCGGCGTTGGGCCCCTGCGGATGCCAGGGGAAATGACACGCGTACCCCTGATGTGTCAGTATATTGTCTTTTCCGCCTCTGCCTTTTTATTTGAATTCTCTCTTGCTTTGGTAATTTTATCTGAGAGTAAATTGCATTTATATTCATTTAAATGCTTCTTGGAGTTTTGTTTTTACTCAAGACAGTTTGAACTTCTGTTGTCTGTAAATAGCCAAATAGGGTCTTTTTACAGAGAGAGAGGGGTTTTTTTTTGCTTTCAGTCCCTTAAACTTTAAATTTTTATGTTACCAAATTATTAAAATTGTTATTTGGTCCCTAAATTCTTAGTAAGCCTTTACAAAATCAGTCTCACAAATCATTATATTACTATCATTATATTACTATTAGATCTCATTCTTAAAAGTTGTTTCAAATTAATCTTTATAATCATGAGGCGTGGTAGCGCAACATAAGACTTGGGAGAGGAGTGATTCAAAATATTTAAGGTTTAAGAGACTAATATTGAAGTGTATAAAGTAAGTAAGAACTCTCACTTTATTGATCGTTCATGATTCATGAATGCGCGAGTACAATAATTTATAGATGATAAGAAATTTAATATAGAAACTCTAAGTACTATGTAGAGAATAAGGATATGTATTACTACCAGATATTGAAAGATACATTACCAAATACAAAATGTAGCAATAACATAATTATATCATATTAAGTTCCACTCCACCAAATCAATGGGATAAGATCATGGGTTTGGATATAATGAGCCAAAAATGATAGATGCCTAAGCCTCGATGAAGTGTGGTGAAAAGAAAAACCCAACGGTTGTAAGATTGATAATGTAGGATAGAAATCTAGCGGCATCGATGAAGAAGAGTTCAATGTCAATGAGATTAATAGCGAGAGCTAGGAATCCTTTACATCAACGGAGAAAAATTTTATGATAACGAGATCAAATGGCGAGGAACGTAATCCCTATCCATCGATGGAAAACTAGAAGGGTCAATGTTGAGGCCAGGAAGAGGAGGATTTGTTGTGAAGAAAATATCAATGATTGATGTCGATGCTATATAGAAGAAAATATCGTAATAAGCAGGGACATGATTTAGAGTCGAAATGCTATGTATGATAGCGATGATTTCTTTTTATAGGAAGAGAGCTCCATAGAAGAGGCAAGGGTGAGATTGTATTACAAGGGACATCAACAGTGAAGGCTCAATTATAGGGGCAATGTCAGATCTAATCTACAACAAACAATGATAAAAGCGGAAAGAATGAAGTTGTCAAAGATGAGATCAAAGACGCCAATGGAAAGTATGTAGGCGGTGCTTGGTGTTAAGACTCTCTCAGCAGCATCGAGTCGAAGAAACAAAAGAGAGGTTTTTAGGGCTAAAAACATAGCTCTGACATAATGTAAAGGAGAAAGAAATCTCTCTTTATTTTATTTTATTTTTTGGTTTGACAATGGAACTTCCCCACGATCATTTGGACTATGAGTTGTAGGATCTGCGAAATCACACACTAAACACTAGAGGGTGGGTGAATAGTGTTATTTAAAATTTTACAAGATGAATTATAACTTTCAAGAACAATGAACAACAATCTCAGGAAATGAACAATCACAAACAAGAGATTTTATACTGTCTCCACTACCCTGGTGTACATCCAGTCCCCAAGCCAATTCTGCTTGAGATTTTCCTTTCCTTGATTTGTAAATCCACAAACCAACCTGACCTTGAAAGCCACAAGATCAAATCTGACCAATTGACAAAACCATGCCAATTGCAACCAATCTCTAAACCAAGAGATCTTATCTCTCAAATCGGAGATAACCTTCCTTTAAAGTAAAGTACAAAACTGATCCTATAAGCCTTGATGTGAATGTGAAGTGCAGCAGTGGCTTAGGAATTTAAACTCTCTGAAAATTTACCTAAACAATTCCAGTAATGATGGAGAACAAAGGCAATCTCAGAATTTTCTTTTCTTGATAATTTGAATGAGAATTTGTATCAAGAAAGAATGAATTTGATCAAAATTTGAATCTTGTATGTACTAATGTCAGTCACAAATTCTGATGTTAAAACTTATTTATAGCCTCTGAAATATTCAAATTTTAAACCAATTAACGTTTAAAATCGGCTATAAACGTTCACTAATTCAAATTCAGAACAGTTAGAAAACTGTCTTTATAGTCGACTACTAAGCTTAGTAGTCAACTACACTGAGTCTATTCAGACTCTGTGAAGTCAAGAAATATGCTTAGTAGTCGACTACTTAAGGCATTAGTGGACTAATCTGTAAAACTTAAGTTTTATAAGTTAAACTGAGAATGAGTAGTCGACTAGTAAGCATAGTAGTCGACTAGTCTGTAAATATGAAGTTTCTGTAACTTTGACTAAGGATTTCATAGTCGACTACTAAGGGTATTAATTGACTACAGATACATAGATATGAGATATTTGATATATTTTGAGACTCGCTCTATATCTATAAACTCTAATAGTTAACTTAGGGGATTTCTATAATTAACCACACACTAAGCATGTGTTAGTGTGTTCTAAATACTATGTGTGTGTATGTGTTGTGAGTGATCAAGGTTTTTAACAAAGATTTTACCTAATGAAAGATAACCTAAAATACAATTATATCATTGTAGGCGTTAAAAATCACCTATGGGTTCCCGTACGCAGCTCGAGGCGAAATGCAGACGATAAGCGTCATCATTCAAGTCGGAAAATTATTATCCAACCATGTGGAAGCTAACGAATATACAAAGTGAGTCATTGGAGTGTACAAGTCAACGGAATGACGAATTGCGCGATACAAGTCCGGAGAAGTCAGAAAGTGTCAAACACCTCAAAGTGGCCCGCACAAAGAATTGATATTTTGATCATGATACAATTCGAATCTGGAAAAATTCAAAAGATAAACATTGAACGTCTCTTCGTCATCTTTCTAACACATCCTGAATCACCTCATTCCGAGGTCGGATGAATGAGTTAAGACCGCTATAATACCGCGCTACAGTAACCGTGTACCCGCGCTACAGTGACCGCGGGTCACCAACTGGTGACCCATGGTACAGTAACCATAGGTCGCCCGTGCTACAGTAACCGCAGGTCAGGTCTGTCTGACCCGTGCCCCCTGTCAGTCAGCAACTGCCGACTTGTGTCCGTAACCACCAAAACGCGTTTCGGTTTGTTTCGATCAGTTTCTTATGTTCCGAAACCTCCATAACTATCTGTAAATCATATCTAAACGAGAGTGGATGGTTGTCAAACACCTCAAAGTGTCCCGTACAAATAAATAACATTTTGACCATGATACAATTTTAATCTAGAAAAATTCAAAGATAAATGTTGAAGGTCTCTTCATCAGCTTTCTAACGCATCTTGAATCACCTCATTCTGAGATCGGATGAGTGAGTTAAATCCGCTACAATATCACGCTACAGTAACCGCGTACCCGTGCTATAGTAACCGCGAGTCACCAATTGGTGACCCACGCTACAGTAACCATGGGTCACCCATGCTACATGTTCGCGGTGAAAATTGTTGCTTTCTTCATTATTGATTCCATTGCAAATTCTTGTAATAGTTTATCGATTACAAAGATCCGGTCTTTTTTAGAACCGGTTACAACGAAAATCAGATAAAAAAAAGAAATAAAAATTACAACTTTCTCCTTGTTTGTCAAACGAATCGCAAGATCCTGTTTTGCGGTCTCTTGCTTATGTGGGTTCTTTGCCGACGCTGGGGTTAATCCGTGGATCACCGCGCGATCTAGATCCGGTCGGATCTACGCAGTACGACGGGTATTATTTCACCAAGGAAATAATAGCCGGGGAGGATTAGTTCACCAAGGAAATAATCGTCCAAATCTCGGGATCAAAGGCCAAGCTTTGATCCGGAATATGCCTGCGTAGATCTAAGATCCGGTCCTCTCGAACACCTGCCTTTTGTGACGTAGACGCTCGCCGAGAATCAGATCTGAATCTTCAAATCCTCAAGTCTTCAAAACTCCAAGCTCGATCTTCAATTCGGCAGAGTTTCGGCTCTCAAAGTTCCAACCTTTTCAAATGAACAACCCTTGGCCTATTTATNCTCGGTTTCGGCCGAGCCCCTCAGGGTGTTTGGGTTCCGTCGTTTTGTCGTTTGTTCCCGTTTTGTCCGTGATTCGGTCATGCGGTTGATTTGTCTGGACTCGATTTGTTGACCTGATTTGGCAGTAAATCCGATTCCTGATTTGGCAGTAAATCCACTTCTGAGTTCGAGTCCGAAACCGATCTTGATTCGGTCGTGATTCATCCGAGTCCGCTCTTGTTTGGATGACTCGTTGACTCCCTGAACCGTTGGCTTGATTCCGCACGCGAATGGATGTATTCTGTTGCTTGCGTGCGATTCGTCAACCTCGTCGCCTCGTTGGTTCGTCGGTTTGTGCTGAGCTGTGCTAAGGGACCTATAAGCAATTTTATACGCCTACAGATACCCCCTCCAAAGTATTTCAGCCTCGTTCTTTTATAGAAGAGTCTGGAATACTTTGGATATGATTGTCCCAACCTTCGATCGGTGTAACGGGACCTTGGAATGGCTTCCGTTCTTGATTCCTTCAATCCTCCAGGCTATTCGGTACTTTGTCGAATGTCTGTAAGAGTTCCGATGCTGCATTTATTGTCTGACCGTTGTCGGAATTTTAAACTTGAAGTCGATTCCTGATTTTCTAATCTTTAGCTGACCATCGATTGTTGGCGTTGAGTTTTTTATTTGCGACGCGTTGTCCGGCGTAGTGTTGTTGAGTTATCCTTAAGAATATTTATAAAAAATATTCTCGAGGAACTTCTCAACCAAAAATAGGGAATAGTTTATACTCATATACCTTAT